TCCATAGTAAAATCTGTGATCACAGTGCCACAGTGAACGTGACTGGTATGCTGTGAGTGCCCGGGACTATTGTTTGTTAATTATATATATATATATATAATTATATATATAATTATTTGGTGCCATGAGTGCATCGGTGACAAATTGAAATGAAAATGCTGTTTATGTGTATACTTTGCGTGAATTATAGGCAAGGTGAGACTCTATGATAGTTGTGTATTGAGTAGTGTAGAGTACTCACCATTACATTTATTTTTCAGGTGATCAAGACGATCAGCACCGGACTTAGTGAAGGAATGGACGGACTGCTATAGGACTTAGATTTTATTTTGAAAATGTTGTAATTGAACTAGTTCAGTAGGAGTTATTTGATATTAATTTGTAATCCTTCTCTTATTTTAAAATATCTTATGAAAATTTGATTAGTCGAATTTGTAAAATTATTATTTAATTAAAATTAAATTTAAGGTGTTACATTACCAAACCTAAAAAAGTTTCTAGCAACAACAAATTTAGACAAAGAAACTAAATTTCTAGAAATATTGGTATATAAAAAGTTCCAAACAAGTCTAAATGAAATTTAGGTGAAGGATTAAACAATAAGTCTTGACAACTTCCACTAGAACCTTCACTCTATTTCTTGTGAAGACAAACTTATTTGGGTTTGTGGTTAGGGTTTAAAGGAATACTGCAACATATTAGAAATGTGAATGTACATCTATAATCTATCCACCAAGTATTGTAGGGAACTTCAGTTAAATTTAATTCGAAATATACAAAAATATTATGCTCACATTTCTTTTTAAACCAAGCTTTACATTTTGAGCAATTATCCTCGAAATGTCTAGACTTCCCTTAGAAATAACATTTGTCATCTTTCTTTTGAATTTTAGGAAAGGACTCGCTGATATTTAATAGTCTTTTACCTTTTCTATTTTTCTTATCAACTTTCCCTCCACCTCTCTGCTTATCCACATAATGAATGGAATGGTTCCCTTAATTTTTAAGTCTAGTTTCCTTTTGAACTAACATATGTGCAATTCATGCACATTCTAGTTGTCTTTATGATATTATAGTTTATTTGAAAAGGACTATACTCAGACAATAATGAATTTAGAATAAACTGCACAAGGAAATTTTTATCTACTGTCATTCCAAGATATTTAAGTCTTGTTGTAATATTTATCATCTAATGACATGTTTATGTACAGTATGAGAACCGTCAAACTTAATGGTGGTCAAAATACTCATTAATGTCCTAACAAGAGACTTATGATTAATTTGAGAGCATTCTTCCACAAATTTCAAATTTTTTTTTGCACTCTCAGTTTTGGGAAGAGTAAACTTAATGTTACTTATTATGCACATAAATATCATGGTAATTTTGTTTGACTTTTTTCAAGCCTTAAAATAACCTTTCTCTTCATTAGCAGAAGGTTTTTCAACTTAAAGAGACAAATTAAGATCCCACACCTAAGTATTGAACTTGTTGACTCCAATTAAAGAAATTCAACCCATTAAAAAATAGGAACATTTGTGGCATGCAAATGTAAATATATAAGAATAGACATTGTAATTAACACATGCTTAAAATTAATATTTTGAATCATAAATCAAACATACATTGCATATTCATAAAACAAACAAGTATTTTATGTATATTAATGTCTTCTTTGTGATAATTGTGAGATACACCAATACAAAACATTTTCTTAAGTGATGATGCTAATCAATTTAACTCTATTTAGTAATGAACTATGCATCAATTAAAAATACTTCCTACTTTTGAGTAATTAAATAAGTTAATGCTATGTGTCTTATAATAATGAAAATTTAATATACTTATGTAATAAAAATAATATTTAGCATCCATTATTTTATGGGCAATTGAAATAAAACCATTATTAGTTTAAAAATTAAATTTGACTATAATTAACAAAGTTATTATTCACTTGAATGTTTTTAGATATTTTTTAATATATAAATTTCTTATGTTATGCTTAATTTTCTATAAAAGAAATGATAGAAACAATATCTAATATACTCTTTTTAACATATTCTTATTTATTAATCAAAATTTATAGAGAATTATAAAAGTATGAAAAAAATATTAAATTAAAAGCGAGAAAGAACGAGACACACGTAATTTTTGTAATTTTAATAAGTTTTAATCTTAGAATTATATTAAAAAAAGTGTGTGATTAATATTTATCTTTTCTATAATTATTATTTATAACTACTTTACTCTCACTTAAATAATCTTTTATTACCAAATTCATATATTTTAAAATTTTTAAAATTCTTTGTCTAAACACAACTTAATCGTTAAGCAAATCAAATTAATCCGACCAATAGAAATTAGCCTTTCTCTTCTTTTATTTTCTAGTTTCCTACTTTGTTGTCCATATTCAAATTAATAAATACAATTATTGGTGGTCATCAATCAACGTTTACATGTATTATAGTAATATTTTACAATTCTTCTTGTCAAGATTATTGACTTCTTTGATCGTGAGATTTATTCTATTTTTATTTATTCATTTTTCTTTCTTAACTTTGTAACTTTCTAAGAGGTGGTTTGATTTCTTTTTTTTGGGTTAAATTATACTTTTTTGTGTCTTCTATATTTAGGTAATTAGTTTTTTATTTCACTTTATTTATTTAAGTTTAATTTAATTTTCACTTCAATTTTTTTAAACTTGTTTATTTCAATTTAAGTTAGTACTTTAAATTATTTTTTATATTAAATTTTTTCACTAACTTTACTTTGTCTTTCAATTATTACTGATTTAGAGGATGTTTTGGTATTTATGTAGATATATGTTCAGAGTAAATATGATTAACAATATGAAGATCACAGAGAATAAAAGTGGATTGACAATAGTTATTAGTGTATAGAGGAAAAAAGTAATTGATAAAAATAATTTACAAACAATTAAAGAGATTTTTAATAGCAATTTAAAAGTTTTAAATGATGATTTGATATAAAATACATTGAAAGATGTAAGATAAGAAAAGTTTTTATCCCAAATATTGTTTTAAAAATTTTAATTTAATTAAAAGAAGAAATAAATTTAAAAGATTACTGTATCGTAGAGAAATTAATTTAGAAGGCTAAAAGATAATTAAAAGACTGAAGTAAAACTAAATTAAATAAAAAAAAAATCAAAACGTTGGTTAAACATTTAAAGTACGTTTTAACTTTTTTTTTTCTATTTGTTTTTTAAACTTTTTCAAGCGGTGAACACTTGGGCAATGGTTACAATTAATTTTGGTAGGATTTATGCTACGCTCTCTTACCTGTAAAACAATCATTACTTTTAATTTTATGCTAATAACTAATGTGGTTAATAATTTAGTTAAAAAAATTAATATCTTCTAATATTTAAAATGTAAGATAAATCATAACTATTAATGTAGAAAAGATACAAAATAATTATACAGAATCATATCAAGTATCATTAATAAGCACTTAAAATTGTTAATAAACACTAAATTAACTAACTGTTAAATAATCTGTTATATGTAAATTAAATGAAATTTTTAAACTTACAACAGTGTAATAAGAATTTTTCTATATATATATATATATATATATATATATATATATTACTGCACAAGGATGTAATTACCTCTAATTTTATTGTTGTGTTTTAGTACACTATTTATATTATGTAAAATTAATTTTTTTAATTTTATTTTGTTCTTTAATTGTTATAAAATTTTATACTTTTGATCGATTTCATTAACATGGTGCAATAAAAAATAAAATGTTATTCAGAATTTTAATACGAAAACCTTTTAAATAATTCTATCGTCAATAAATTAAAATAACATTTTATAAAAATATATGAAATAAAAACATTTTTATGTCTTAAAAAAAGTTGTCATAATGAGTGTGCTACTTGTTTCAAGTTGCAAGTGCTCTCCTCCGTGTCCTCGTCATCCAGTGTTCTCACTTTGAATACAACAAAATCTTATCCTTTTCCTTACAATTATTCAAAACTTATCTTTATGGCTGCCATTAAATGATAGAATTTTCTTTAATTTATTGTGAAATTTTTATTATGTAATAATTATTATGAAATTACTTTTTTCTTTTAAGATTTTGAATTACGTTGTTCTCATAACATAATATATAGTTCTCACACAATTAAGTATTTAGAGAGTACTAACTTAATCTACTGTTCCTTGATATTATTTCTCTCTTTGATGTAGTTGATTCTTTAGTATTTTCTCAACTCTTCCTCTTTTAGCTCCTCTCAGATGGTTGAGAAAAAAATTCTTTTCTTACGTTTACCGTGAGCTCACTCAGAAATGAAAGTAAAAAAATAGAAAATGTCGCAAACTCTGTTTGGTAACCGCTCTTTTATTTATACGAAAGAAGAGGGGAGAGTTTCTTTATAATTATATTTATAATTATACCCTCAATGACTCTATATTTTATATTTAACCACTATCATATTAAATCATTAATTAGAGTCATGCTATAAGTTATATAGGCTACTATAATAAAATTATTAAAATAATCTAACATTAAATATATTCAAAATAAATTTTAATTAATGTTTTAAAGATATTATTTAAAAAATATAAATAAATATTTTTTATTAAAATATGTGACAAAACAATCCTTTCGTAATTTTTAATAAAAAATACAATTAAAGATGTTTTACAGTTTAAATATATTTTTAATAAAAATAATTATTAATTTAAAATTAAATATGTATTTAATTTCTCTAACTAATAATTATTTATGAATATTTGTTTTATATTTTAAAAATTATATTTTAATCTTTGTATAAATATTTTATTACAATTTTTGTTATTGTCATTATAACACTGTCAAATAATTGTAACTGAAAGATGCTAAAATTCATATGATTAAAGTGAGTTTTTTTTAAGAATATAAAATATTAATTATAAATACTAAATGTTAACTTAATTTATAAAAGTTGCAAATAAAAATACTGAAATACAAAATACCAGCTTTGACTGTTAGACGTAAAGTTGATGCGCTTTGCAGAAGTAGAAGGACATTATAACTAAAATTCTGGGATCACGACGGTGATAAGGAAAATGGAAATCACTGAAAACAAGGAAGTGTTAGTGACAACAAAGTTTGACTATGATAGAGCAAGTGAACTCAGAGCTTTTGATGACACAAAAGATGGTGTTAAAGGACTTGTTGATGCTGGTGTCACCAAGATCCCTCTCATATTCCATTTCCCACATCCTCTTAATGAATCTGAGAGTGATTCAGCTTCAAATAGCACCAAACTTAGTGTTCCTTCAATAGATCTTGTTGGTATTGATGAAGATCCAAGTCGAAGGAAAATGGTTGTAGAGAAAATTAGAGAAGCATCTGAGACATGGGGTTTCTTTCAAGTCGTTAATCATGGGATACCAGTGAGTGTTCTTGAGGATATGAAGAATGGAGTGCATAGCTTCTATGAGCAAGACCCTGAAGTGAAAAGAGAACTATACACACGTGACCCTTTGAGACCTTTGGTTTATAATAGCAATTTTGATCTTTATAGTTCACCAGCAGCTAATTGGAGAGACACCTTTTACTGCTTCATGGCTCCTCATCCTCCAAAACCACAAGACTTGCCATCAGTGTGCAGGTATTATGTTAGATAGAATCTTAATTTTAGTATTAGAAATGCAACTTGGTACAAATAATCTTTTGGGAAAAGTGTTACAAATAATTTTTTTTAACTGTTTAGCAAAAGGAGTAAATTTTCAGTTGTACTTCTATTGTACCTACTCTTTTGTAGTTATCCTTCCTTAGTTAGCTGTTTTTTCTTATTTATGTTTTAGAAAAAATATAAATTAGAAAAAAAAAAGTTCTTGCTAGGTTTCTTGTTTTAAAGAGAGTGGAGTACCTACACTAGGAGTCCTAAAATATTTTTCAAAAAGAATATATGAGTGGAGACTGGAGAGAGAAAAGTTAATTTTAAGTTTTATAAAAGAGAAATTTGAATTGATTGGTATTGTTTAGCCTTTTACTTCTAGTACAATATCAAGAAATTCAAACCATGGAAAGTTAACAAACTTGGTATTGTACAGAAAGTTATTTCTGTTTATAATTGACCAACTTGCATTTTTGGATATAGTACATTTAATTAAAGAAGACCAACAAATCATGAGATGAAATTCATTCTTTTTACCTTTGGCAACCAGTGCAGATTTTTGTCAATAACAGCTTAGTCTAAAGCATTCATAAATTATGTGTATATGGTTGCAGAGATATACTACTAGAATACACAAAACAAGTGATGAAACTGGGAAGTGTATTGTTTGAGTTATTATCAGAAGCCCTTGGGCTGAATCCAAATCATTTAAATGACATTGGTTGCAATGAGGGACTCCTGGTTGCTTGCCATTGCTATCCTCGTTGTCCAGAACCAGAATTGACTATGGGTGCAACCAAGCATACTGATGATGACTTTTTCACTGTGCTTCTACAAGATCATATTGGTGGCCTCCAAGTTCTTCATGAAAATAGGTGGGTGGATGTATCCCCTGTACCTGGTGCTCTAGTAATCAACATTGGTGATCTTCTACAGGTAAAAGTTTCATGTATTACATGCGTATTTTATATGCAAGTTTGTTTCACATGTACTGGGGACTAGTGTATTTTATATACTTTTCTATTACAGATCTATCTTCTATTGGAAAGGGGTGATTTTGTTGGAAGGGAAAGGAAATTCTCGCTTGTAGTTACTGGGACTCAAATGTTAAATTGATACTGAAAAGGGGAAATCAATATCCATACATTTTAAATAATTTGGAATCATTCCTAAGAGCTTACAAGAAGCTTATGAAGATAACTTATAACTCCTATAACGTATCAAAATGAGCTCATTGTAACTTATTCCAATAAGTTACATGACAAAATTTATGGCTTTAGCTCTCATGAAATAAGAGTTTGTTGAATAAGTACTCAATTCAGATATTTACCCAAACACACCCCGTAATACATTGATATTGGATATCTAAGATAACTACTGAATTTGCTTTGGTGCTATGCACAGTGTCAAAAGAAGTACAGGTTCGATATGGAACAACATTAAATTGCCATGTCTTCCAATAACTGTTTCTCATTTGGAAGAGCTGTGAATTGTGATGCATCAATTTCAAATTGTTTTCCATTTTACAGTCACCTAAAAATTTTCTTGAACAGAAAATTTTACATTTGGCAATGTTCTATTGATTAGCTAATTAACAATGTTCTTGCAAGCAGCTTATAACAAATGACAAATTCAAGAGTGTTGAGCACAGAGTGGTGGCTAACCATGTAGGTCCAAGAGTATCAACTGCAAGTTTTTTTAGCACAAGTCTTCAGCCATCATCAAAACTTTATGGTCCCATTAAGGATTTAGTATCAGAAGATAATCCTCCAAAGTACAGAGAAACTACAGTGCATGACTTTGTTGCATACTCCATCGCAAGAGGCCTTGATGGGACTTCTCGTTTGCAACATTTCAGGATTTGAAACATGTATAAGGGTGCTTTAAAATGTATGTGTGCATAATTCTGAGAACTTAGTCGAATATAATTTGTATTCCAAATCAACAAGAGACTAATACCAAATAATAGAATTTGATTCTATAATCTTTGACCATGTTTCCTTCCCCATGGCTTCTATAGGATGAGAGGCTTGAATTATGCTTCATGTTAATTCAATTTTTTGCTTATTACTGCTGTATGCAGCACCATATATAATATATAGGGATTGCTAACGTCCACCTACCTATTTTTAAGGAGTATTTTACCTTTAATGTATGTTAAGAAAACCGTATTTATATGTAACTGAGGTATATACAGTTTTTTACTCGCCTCTTATTGCAAGAATCCTTAGATTAAGTGACTTGTGGTCTACAGGCAACACTATTTGAATTCAAAGGCCATCACCTTAGAAGGGGTGGCTGGCTGAATTCAAAATCTTCTTGAAAAGAATGTTCCTGATATTTCAATTATACTGATTTAATATAAACTATGGTTGTAAAAGGAAGCCATAAGAAAACTTGCAACTGTATGGACCAGAATTATCAAGGCTCCAAATCCAAGCATCTTCATTTTCATTCTTCAAATGAACAGAACTTAAAAAAGTCATCAATTCTTCAAACAACTATATCCTTCCCATTCAAAAGGGTCTCCTCCATTGTAACTTCCCACTACCAAATGTTGTCCGCCGAAGCTCCCAAATTAGCAACCACATCATTCTAATTTTTTGAAATAGGATAAGATCTATTAAACACACTGCTAAGTTTTTCATTATTCATCCAAACATTATCATGATGAAATAGGAACAATTTTACTTATTTTAAGGCTACAAAGGTCTCTCCACCAGTAAGATGATTCCTTAATTCTTCTATGGCAATTCACAGCACCTGTATCCCCAATCCCATTAAAACCGAAAAGTTCTCTCCGAGACATCTCCATGGCCATTTTCCCATCAAATTGAAGTCGAAAAGTTACAAATCTTTTATTGCTGCCCACCTTCTACAACTTTATGTCAAAAGTTAAGTAAATGAAGAGATATGAATGGTTTTATATTATATCTCTAAGAATAACAGGGGTACATATATGTACTCTTATTCTATGTAGGATGTTTTTTAGTGCAGAGGAGGTTTGATTAAAGATTACTAATAATTGTGGAAGGCTTTCTACTTAAGTAGAAGTAAGTTCAATGGTTAAAGGGCAATGCCATACAAAGTGGAGGAATATTTGTGTTCTTAGTTGAGACTGTTTAAAAAAGAAAGGAATCTTGTTGGTGTCCATTGAGATTCTTAAGCCTTGAAATTTAGTTTGGTTTGACCAAATTACTGCATTCTTTCTTGGTCCCATCATATTACGAAATATCTCTCGTGTCTATTTCATTTGATCTTTTACATCAATATCCATAATGCTTGCCATATAGTAATCCTCAAGTTTGCTTCATTTCTCTTTGGCTGGCTCTTTTGCTCACTCTTCTAGCTCCAAGGCCTCACTACAAGCAGAAGAAAAATGGCAGCAACAAACAAGCCTGACTTAGATTTTTAATTGAGTGAACGCAAAGCATTTGATGAAACAAAAAGCTGGTGTGAAAGGGCTTGTTGATGCAGGTGTTAAGAAGGTCCCTAGCTTATTGCATCACCAACTTGACAAGTATGAGAATGCCTCAAATTCATGCAACACATCCCATGTTATTGCAGTCATAGATCTTCAAGATACTGGAAAACATCCAAGTAAGCGCCAAGCACTTGTTGACATAGTAAATGAAGCAAGAGAGAAACAATGGGTTTCTTTCTAGTAGTGAATTATGGCATCCCGTTGAGTGTTCTCGAGGAGATACAAAGTGGGGTGAGAAGGTTTCATGAGCAAGATAGTGAACTCAAAAAAGAATTCTATGCACAGGATCAACTATGATCTTCTGCATACTATAGCAATTATGATCTCTACAGCTCACCAGCTCTCAATTGGAGGGAAACTGTGTTACTTGTATCCTGATGCTCCTAAACTAGAAGAAATTCCTTGGTATGAAGGTATGTATGTTTATCATATATTTATATTCTCCTTCAACATAGGTTACTGGGGTCAAAATACTCAAATGTAGATACTTGTATTTATTGATATGTTAATGAAAGGCTATGTCAATCTGTGTGTAAGATTGACAAGCCATGAAATGGGGAGTAATATTGAGAAGTTTCTTGCACTTTGTTGATTGGTACACCTTACCAAATACCTTTAGTGGTGAGCTTATGCCTTGAAACCATTGCTAAATTGCCTACATGTTGACTCTTTCTTTTGCTCCTTTGTTTTAGAAATTACTTGAGAAGAGGATGAGAGTGATCAAGGGAAGGGGGTATTTATAGCTAAGTGGGAGAGGTTTAAGGATAAGTTTTTTTACCGAAATCAATGATCTCGTGTGATTATGTATTAGTGAGATAAATCTTATCTGTTGTTGAGAGAGGATGATGTTGAGGTTATTAGATGGGCACATAGACCATAATGCTGATGTGGCAACAAAGAAACTAAGATCATAACTTAGGTGTTGACACCATGATCGCCGTGTCCAAGTTTTATATATTATGAATAGATAAATAAATAATTAGAATATGCCAAAATTGTATCTCCTTTTATTTATATGTAATTTCTTTTGTAGAATACAAATTTCACATTAACTGTATATAATTTGAAATCACCACAGTAAGTTAAAAGATGAAGACTGGCAAATTAAACAATTATATAAGCTAACTAGTAAACAATAAAATAAAATAAAATTGATTAGAAAAAAAAAAAGAAATTGAATTAGCATCTCAATTTTATTTCTGATCAATTGCATGTTCTTGCAGAGATGTACTATTAGAATACGGAAAACACATAATGAAATTAGACTTTGCTGTTTGAGTTGTTATCAGAGGCTTTACTTACATATGGCTTGCGCTGAGGGGACTTTTACTCTGCTAGGAACAAACCTTAATTAAGACTAAAATTGATTCAAACTACAAAGATATAAGAAAGAAATGTTAATTTAAGAATAAGAAAAAGTGATATTTACATAGATTTTATAGTTTTTAATAAATTTTAATTAATAATTAAGATCGTGTTAAAAATATATATATTAAAAAGTACGTTATTAGTATTTTTATTTTTTTTTGCTATTTGTCATTATTATCCTGAATGTCGTCAACCAGAATTGGCTATAAGAATTCCCAAGCATCGTATGATGATTTCTTCACAGTGCTACTCCAAGATCAAAGCTCTATGGGCCAATTAAGGAACTCAACAATCCTCCCAAATATTGGGAAACCAAAGTTGCTGCCTATGAAATCAACCCTAAAACAAAAGGATTACAGAGTTTGAACTGGCAAGTGTAGAAGAAAAAGGATTTGCTCGGAGAAATAATTTAATAGACTTGATGAGTCATTGATGGCACCAAATTTAATTATTGAATAGGCTTGATGATTTGGTGGTTTGGTTACTTATTATATCTACGTTACTATGATATTGAGTTTAGTAGGTAACATTGCATATAAAAGATAAATAAGACAATACAATCATAAAACAAGGGAAAAAGAACAATAGCACCTGGTAGAAGAATTCAACTTAAATGTTTGCTTTCACATATGTAAATTCCACAAGCATAATCCAGTCCCTAGGAATCTGAAAATATAATTATGATAATCAATTAGAGAATAAGATGATAATCAAAGGCATAACAACATATTATAGACTATAATTATAATTCGTATGCAACATGCTATATATAATATATAATATACTATATTTCATAAAGGCATAACCTGAAAACCACAATGCAAAGGATTATAGTAAATCAAATCTCCTAATTAATGTGATGATTATTCCTAATTATAACAGTCGCTAGTTTTGGATGCCAAACAGCTCCAGGAAACTCACAAATATTACACATTCAATCATGGCATTGCAACCAGCACAAATTCTGCAATAAAACACAGTTGTAACAAGAGTCAGGAGATAGAACATAATTAATAAACCAAAAGAAAAATAAAAATGGCGCTCCTAATTCATAATATAAATATTCCTACTAAAGCATTTATATAAATAGCGAATTAATCACCTTCCAAACGCGAAACGCCTAATTGGGTTTGAATTGCAGAATAGCTCTTTTAGCTCCCTTACTTTTCCCACTAAAAAGAAAAGCAAAGATGTCTTTGGAACAAATGTGGGTAAGTGGGTTATCTGTACATAGTAAATAACAAAATCAATTTTTTAGGTAAACGATTTTTTTAACTTTTGCTGAATAAGGATTGAGGAACAGGGAGGAAGAAAGAAAAAAGAAAGAAAAGTGAGGAGGAAAGAACTACCTGCAACAATGGTGGGTTTTGTCTTTTTGATTATGATAAAATATAGAATTGCACACACACTGTTAAAAGGTCTGGAGAAGTCGAAGAAGTAATTACGTTTTAGCAAGCAAAGTGTGATTGTATGAGAAATTGAAAAGTCTTCTTTATTTTTTTTTATTTTTTCAACTGCAAATTACAAGTAAGTATTATAATTTTTATTTTGGGCCCCTTTTAGGTCTGGGCCCTTGGTGATCGCACTCTCAGCCTACCCTCAGAACCGGGCCTGGTCAAAGTACTCATTAATGTCCTAACAAGAAATTTATGAGTAATTTGAGAACATTCTTCCACAAATTTCAAATTTTTTTTTGCACTCTCAGTTTTGGGAAGAGTAAACTTAATGTTACTTATTATGCACATAAATATATAAGAATAGACATTGTAATTAACACATGCTTAAAATTAATATTTTGAATCATAAATCAAACATACATTGCATATTCATAAAACAAACAAGTATTTTATGTATATTAATGTCTCCTTTGTGATAATTGTGAGATACACCAATACAAAACATTTTCTTAAGTGATGATGCTAACCAATTTAACTTTATTTAGTAATGAACTATGCATCAATTAAAAATACTTACTACCTTTGAGTAATTAAATAAGTTAATGCTATGTGTCTTATAATAATGAAAATTTAATATACTTATATAATAAAAATAACATTTAGCATCCATTATTCTATGGGCAATTGAAATAAAACCATTATTAGTTTAAAAATTAAATTTGACTATAATTAACAA